TCCCGACGGGCCATTGCCTGCAACGAGGGCTCCGCCGAGGAGCGCTTCCTGGACAAGGCACTGCGCTACCTGACCTTGTGATTGTGATTTCGGTATCAGAAATCAGCTCTATGCCCATAGTTTTTCATACCCCTAGCCTAAGCCTTAGATTTGTTTGTAAAACATTTAAATAATTACAAATTGAGAAAAGAATTTCACTTGAAAAGGGATTTTTAATGAAACTTTGCGAGATTTTCTATTCCTGAAGATGGTTTGAAGTTTGAACTCAAAGAAATTCAGAAAGAAAAAGTACAAATGGACAACAAATTCAGATGATTCAAGAACATGGGAGTTTAGCGACTGCAAATTCCAATTTGTGGGATCAACATCCTCCCAACGGAATCACCCGCGGTTCCAGTGTAGGTACCCAGCTTGGATATCCGATATGCCCCGATATCGCTCTCGATAAGGAACTCAGAGTATTGGGCGTGTCGTATGTACCCCATGAAAGCCTCGAGGTGTACGTACAGCTCTTGGCGCTGTGACTTTGTGATGGCATGCAGCTTATCCAATCCGATGAAGAAGTCGCCTGTGACATCTCCGATTCCCCTCTTGTACTCCGTCCAATTGAGATCTTCGCTTGTTCGTCGAGCGATCACAGTCCAGCCAGGACCCGCGATCTTTGTATCGCAGAGAACTTGAAAGGGTTCCGGGTTCGGTAGGATTACAGTATATGTACCATGGGCCCTGGGGTCAGGAGGACATCTGCCATAGGGGCTTACGACACGCTGAAAGTAGGTTTTTAGTTGATGCTGATTGAGAATATGGATACGTTATGGCTTCCCTCGGGGCGTTTCGTCCACCATACCCCACCCCTAGGGTTCGAGTATTTTCAGAGCACCTGTTTGTTTTGCCATAAAGTGGGGACAAATGCCACGCTTTCCCATTCGAAATATTCACAATTTGTATCGCAGCATTTGAGTGCAGCAATCGAGAACAAATGTATCTCGTTAGCCTCTCTTCCATTCTGAGCTCAGAACTCAATCGATGACTAGTGTAAATCCCATTGTAAATCTTTCATTGCATCAACAGTGCCTTCCGTTCCGTCTGTACGGGCACATCTATCCCCATTAATTCCGTCTCTGCCTGCCCCCTGCCTCCCTGCCGTTGTGTCTTTCCGTTTCCCGTACTTGTTGGGCGGCGACGACCCAGTGACATGATTGTCTCCCATCATGTGGACCCCATCCGTCTGGGAGATAATCTGCCCTGTCGTTGATGTTCCAGGGGATTCCCTGGCCCCCGCTCTGAGCGCTCCTCCCCTCCTGTTTAGTCCAAGTGTTTTTCCATCTTGTGTCTAAAAATAGATAGACCAAGTGGCGCCTCTTCCTCCTACCTCCTACCCCCAGCCTGCAGATGCCTCCTGCCGCTGCTTGCCCTCTCCCGCCAGCACAGTGGCTGCCACTGCCTGTTGCTCCTTTGTTTTGGCTTTCAGCACAGGGTGTAGGCAGCCGTCGCACAGGGCGTCCCGCCTGCTGGCTGCATCCTGTGTTGCCATAAAAGCAGAGGGGCAGAAGAGAGCTTTCTAAGTTCTGGAGGACAGGACGGACATGCGCATAAAAAGCTGCCATAAACTTGCGCTGCTGCTGCTGGTGCTGGTGCTGCTGCTGCTGCCGTGGCGTGTGGCGCTTCCTGGTTGCAGCAACGATTGGACGCCCGCCGCAGTATCTATCACAAGTCCAAAAGCGAAGCATACTTTCGTGCGCCGGAAATGGGCAACGGCACGTCGTAGTCTGTGCCTCCTGCGTTCCGCTGTGCTGCGCTCCTCGCGCGCGTGTGTGTGTGTGTGGCAGTACCAGCAGCAGTGCTTTTGTTGCTGTTGGTGGAGCATGTCGCGCGCCATGTTTGCTCAAGTAAAAGCCAAATTTGATTAATTAGTTTTCGCAGCCCAAAAGAAAATGTGTGAAAAATCGTAGAAAGAAGAAGAGGATGAAGCCCTAGAAAATTTGTGTGTCCCTTCCTCGTTCATCGGGGCTCACTCCTCCTCTTCCTCTTCCTCATTTATCTGCGTTCCCACTTCTGCCGTACGCCCCCCGATCCCCGCTCCCCTGCTGTTGCCCCTCTCTTCCACTTCTTTTTTTACAATCAAAATCCGAATTGATGCGCGCGCTGTGCCGTTATTCGCGTGCGTGTGAGTGTGCGTGTCTGTGCCTGTTCCCTTTCCCTTCCCTTTTATCCCTTTCCTTCCCCTTCCCCTGCTGTTTCCCTTTTTTTAAGGTCACACAGCATACATCTATGGAAGGGGGGTACTCTCCTATTTATAGAGGGCACTCTGCCCGCTGCATTGAAAATAAATTATTGCCAAAAAGTTATTTTCATCAAATATTTATGTATACTCCCATTGCGGCGGACGGCCAGGCAGCGTCCTTCTTTTTTTCCTTTTGGGTGTGACTTGCACTTCCCTCTCTCTCACTCTCTCTCTCTTTCTATTTCCCGTTCCCTCTTTCTGTGTACATGCCTGTGTGTGCGTGTGTGTGTTTATTGACTTCCTCTTCTAGAAGTATGGTCGTGTGTGTGTGTGTGTGAACCGTCTTTTGTTTGTGTGCGTATGCTAATTGAGTTTTTCTTTTTATTTTTTTTGGGGGCTTTCTTTTTACTTTTGCATTTTTTGCTTTTCTCTTTCTTACCTTTTGTCTTAGATTTTCCCATCTTAGTCCTATCCCACCTGTCAATGTTTTCTCCTATAACACAAGTGTTTATTCTCTATCTTTCAAAATTATCAATCCGAAATCGAAATCGAAATCAACATCGAAATCCCAAAGGAATAACAAAACTTGAATCCATTGTATGCCGTCAGCCATATAGAGAGTTATGCTGCAATACGATCAGGTAAATGAAGGCGAAACCTACACAAGTTTGAGTCCCCTTTCGGGGATACTCTGCAGAGGGTATTGGGATCTGAAGAGGGGTGATTATAGCTTCCGACTACAGTCTTTTGGGATACTTCTTCAAGCGGGTATTATCTCTGCTCTCCTTAGCTGGAAGCCCACTATCGCAGTGTTTTATTCCCCATTCATTGGAGCCTCCGACAATGGTGATTATTTTGGCATGGAAACAACTTTCTTTGGGGGATATTACATCTATAGTTTCATCTGTTTTATAATTGCTAAATTACGAATCACAGATGCATCTCTCAACCCTCCAGGGCATTTAAAGTCCGGACCCCAAAGCTCTACTCATAACTTAAGAACTGGGGGAAAACGTCACAATCAGCTGCCAAAACGAAATGTGACCCAAATCGGGAGATGACACTGTCACAGCCTCTGACGCTCGCCCCCGCCTCCGCCTCCATTGACGTCTCTTCTGAGAATATTCAATTGCAGCTGCTGCTTGCAACAAGCCGCAACAACAGCCGCAGTCGCTGTGTCGGAGGCGGCGGTGGAGGCGGAGGGGCGAAGGCAAAACAATTGTCAACGACGTCGTTGTCGTTCTAGCTGCCGGCATGCCATCCCAGGCCATGCCATGCCACCTGGTTGTGGCAGCTTAGACGCTGCCGCCTCTGCTACTCCCCCTCCCACACACTCGCACACACACACACCTGATCCTCTGTTGTTGCCACCTACTCCGTGCCCACCGCCCTCGAGTGCCACTGACGACTGTGATTAACTTTTGTCTCTCGTTTGTCCTTTGCCTTCTGTTGAGGCCCGAAGACAGAAGCCAAAGCCAAAGCTACAGCCAAGGCAAAATGTTGGCACACTTTGCCTCCAAAGGGGGCCTTTGCGAGGGGGTTTGTTGTCGAGGGAGCTTTGCGGGGGCATTGTTTGCACTTGGGCTGCAGTCTTAAGGTTTTTGCAATGCTCTTGAAATCCTTTATTAAGGAGGAGGCGGTCTTCCGCAGAGAGGTCTGTGGTTCCCCTTGGCAGAAGGTTAGAGTCTACTTAAAGTCTGCTTAGTGTCTCAGTAATGTCAGAAAAATCGGTTTAATTACAGGTAAAACTTGACCCAGTGCATAGATTTCTTAGAAAGGAAGTCCTTCGTCTCAAAATATTGGAACCTTGGGAAGAGAACCCAGAGGCATTCTATGCAGTCTCTACATTCGATTAAGTCTATATATATTTTAGATGCTAAATGCTTCCCATTTGTGTATAATCCAATATCTCAAAACATTCCTGCTTCCCCCGAAAACCTACTCGTATCAACAGGTTCTCCATCCACACTTTCCTATAGACAGCCACATGCCTTCTGCCATCCCGTCCTACGATTCATGTAAACTTTTTGGATTACTTTAAGACCCATCCATAAATTATAAGAGTTATTGTTTGTTTTAGTCTAAACCGACACTTGCGATGATATAATCTGCCATATTTTTGGGGGCACACATCCTCCTGTCTCTCAGTTATGATGAGTCATCGGGGACAAACTTCCGTCTAGAATTCCGGGGATAAAACTTTCAGTTTTATTTTGTTTGTTTGTTTGTTTTGTTTGTTGGTTGTTTGGGACACTCGTTCGTTTGGTGGGTTGCTGGGTTGATGGCTCGGTGGGTGGGCTGTGTTCCATTCAATTGTGTCAGTCGGGCGGCTGTAAAAGTTTTTCTTGCGGCTCATATATAAAAGAAAAGCTTGGCATTAGAACAGACATTCCCCCTGTCCTTCTTCCACAGCACTCCCTCTGTAAGAACAACAATGAAATGCATAAAAACCAGCAGAGAGCCAGGAAAAAGTTTCGCCATGACATTTCTGGGTTATGTGGCATGTGGCATGGAGCTGCGATGAATGCGTATTGGGCACAAGGTAAATGGAACATTGGGTTAGGTCTGGGGCACAGCTACTCCTCCTCCTCGCCCCATGTGGATTTATGCCGAAACTTTTTTCCGGTAGAAAACTAATCTTGTGAGGGATTTTTCGGGCGACAATCTTGGGGATGGCAATCTTGGGTTTCTGATTTTGATTAAATATAATTTCAAGTTCTTTCACTCGATCCATAAAAGATACTAATTCTTCCCTTGATTTTTGTATTAATTGCAGCCCCCTGAGAATGAGCTACAGAAATCGCACGATCACAATCCGGCCGCCCTGAGTGAGCATCAGCTGCGCGTCCAGGCCTCGCTGCAGCGTCTGAATATCCCCGACTGGTTCCGTGCCTACAACCAGAATGCCGCACAGGCGCCGGAAGGTGCCGCTTCAGGGGGCACGTCGACCTCTGGCGGCGGCTATCGGCCGGGCAATTTCACGCGAAAGCGCACCCAGGACTCGGGCCGCTGGCAGGGACTCAACTCGAAGACGACCTCGCTCAGTTCGCTCGGCTCGCACTCGCAGCGCTCCGATCGCAGTCCTCTGCTGTTGAGTCCCTCGGCGCACAGCCACCATGGCGGCCAGAGCAGCAGTGTGAGCGGCGGTTCGGCGGCAGGGGGCCCGGCGCATGGCCATCAAGGCCATCAGGGACAGCAGGCCGGAGTGGGGGCCACGCGGTGGTCCACCTCGCATCTGAACTCCACACAGACCTCGCCGAGCGTCTCGCAGCGAGGAAGCTTCGCCCGTGGGGCACCCATCAACAGCAGCTTCATGTCGGTGGCCAGCAACAGCAGCAGCGTCCTGAGGAACTCCTACCGCCAGCCGTACCTCGGATGGCGCAGCACGGAGAAGCTATCCCAGCGGACGCCACACGAACGGTGAGTGCATGTGGCATACGTTTCCGAAGGAATACACTAATCTCTGTCTCTCTTTTTCGGCCACAGTCTCGCCAGCTCTCTGCTGGCACAACGCACAACCCCATCCCCCACATCGGCGGCGCCCAACGGCGGACGCACTCTGCAGGCGGTGACGCCAGAGATCCAGAGCTCCATCAAGGAGGTCACCTCGGCGATTGTGCACTACGTGAACGACCAGCAGCTCTCCCAGCAGCAGCAGAATCGCAGCCGATCCGCCAGTCCAAATTCGAGGTAGGCAGCGGTCGCCAGTCCGTTGCTCCTTTTGCTCAGAGCTAAACGAGAATCAGAGCTAAATAGAACCCTAGAAAGCTTCCTTGTTGATGTCTTATGTCGATGTTGTGGCACCATCCATTCATCTGTCGTATCCATCTGTTGATCCATCCCATCTGTCAACCACCCACCCAGTGTGTAGCTGTTGCCCACCCAGAAAACCATCTTACCATCTGTATCCACTCTTCAAACTCCAAACTCCATTCTTCACCTTCGATTCGAACCCCATTTCGATGTTCCCATTTATAATTTTCTTCTTTCAAAAACCACACACAACGCGTAGCTACCTGTAAAAGTCTTCAGCACCACCAACCACCAACACCACCACCGTTCAGCAGCACCACCAAAAAAATTGACAAAAGCTGAATAGAAAAGAAAAACAGAAAAGAACAGAACAGAAAAGAAAAGCGAGAAAACCAGGCTTTGTCAGAGGTAAGACGCCCCCGCAAAGGTGAGGCTCCTACTCCTCCCTGTGGCTAATATCTGTGACTAACTCCAAAGAACTACCAGTAATCGTACTACTCGCTAGTACGTATACGTATTTATGTGTTTATCGGTGTGTGTGCCCTCTAATGCTAGATACTAAAACCACTAAAAAAAGAACACTAAAAAACTTTCCTCGCTTCCAGCAAAGCACAAAAAACTTTCTGGCTTTGGATGCTTTTGGAGCACTGCCAAATTGGAGAAGAGAAATGGGTCAAACAGATGCAGGGAAAATAAGAGAAAAGATGGAAAATTAGAGAGAAATCTTTGAGAAAATGATTACCGGAAAGGAGTAGAAGTAGAAGAAGCCCAGGAAGGACGATAAATGGATGCTTTTTACTTCTATAGTTGGAGATTAAACTCCATTCCTAAGTGCTGTACTTTAAATGCCTTCTTTGCTTTGACTGCCGTTCCTTTCTTTGATTCAAGTAAATGATAAAATGATAGTAATTATGGCCTTGCTCAAGTTTTTAGATGATTATTTAAACGATTTCCTTCCTGGGATTGGTTTTAAGAAGGAATTGATACAGACTGTAAATCAATTATTATACGATGAAGATTCATGTCATGTGGTTCTCGCAAGCTGCTCTTTGTAGACATATTGTAGCTTTATTCCACTTTTAAGATAAGTAATTTTCTTCCCTTGAATGCTTTTCCTTTCACTGGCACTTTTCCCTCCCTTTGTGTCTCCGACAATAGATTCTCCCCCCAGCAATTCAATTATGAGTGCTCTCCTTAACAAATCTGATTAATATTTCCCTGCCACACACACAATGCCTCTATAGAGAGAGAAAGAGAGTAGAGAGAGATTCCATATCTGTGGCATGTGGCAATCGGAATCAGTTTCGCTTGTGTATCTTTTGAGTATTGTGCCTCGTGTGCTTCAGTTGCACAAAGCCCGGGCTCCATTCAAAGCGAGATTGATTGAGAACCACAGAACTCTGTGGCACATACGGATTGGAGTCAGGGCTCCGCTTGGATGAACGCTCCTCTTGGATGCCTGACCTGACTCCCTTCTCGTGTATGCCATTCAAATGTGGTCCGATGCCATTAATAAAGCGACATAAAAAGACTCTCCCCATGCCACCGGGCTGTCCGTTGCCAAGCAATTTAAATGTCAGCCATGCAACTGACGGTCCGGTATGCATACCTGAGTATAAATACGTTTTCCGAAGAGGAGCAGGTCATCGGAAAGACCAGGTGGGGTCTCCCTGCCAATCGCTGCCACCACCACAACAGTGCGCCCCACTGCAATCAGCGGAGGCCACTTGTACACGTTTCGATTCTGTTGCAGTTCCCCCTTTCGCCCTTTTCCGGCAGGGCCCGCCAATCATTATGAAAATCAATAATAGTCGGACTGTTGAAGTAGACCAAGTCCCACAGACAGGGTGCGCTAGCAAAGGATTTGAGGGGAACCTCTTTTTAATAGAGAACAACGTTGCCTGGGAGTCGTAGGAGAGTTATAGCTAAGAGAATAGATAGTAGTACCTACATATTTCTGGTTAATAGATAGAATAGATAGAAGAAAGAATACTCTCTTTACGAATATATCAAGATTAATGTCCAACCATATCTTAGGATGGTTTACCATTAGGAAATAGTCCTCTAGCAACTTTTGCATTGCATTTTGTATGTGAATATGCTACCAATAAGTGGCAGGCTTTACTGAATGTTGGCTTTGTTCCTAAGTATCTACGAATATCTTTCGGTATAGGGCACTTCCTTAGATATCATCCAAAAACTCTTTTGAACTCACATCAAACGTAATTTAAAGTCTTCAAATCTCGTGTGCTTTCTATATCTATCTCTAGTTATATGTACCTAATTCAAGCCACGTATCTTCTTAGAACCCCTGTATTTTGTTAGCTTTAAGAGTGCCTAATCTCCCCACATGTCACTGATATCTCTAGGGCTAGCGCCTAAAACTCTTGTCAGGATAGGTGCTTTCTCGGCTTTCCCAATGTCTATAAAATCCTATTTCCTTAGACATTCCCCTTGGCGTATCATCTCCAGAGTATCCGGAATCTCACTTTGCTTTGTTGTCTCTGTAATCAGGCCGCCATACGGGCGCCAGGAGCTTCAGCAGCATCCACCAGCAGCAACCACCACATCTGCTCTCTTTTCCTGCGAGGCTCGCGCGCGCTCTCGCTCTCTCTCGCTCTCTCTCTCTCTGTTTCTGTGGTCCTATCTTTTGTGTATCGCAGAGGACAACCCCAACATTTGAGGCCGACCCCGAGGGCCACCCACTTTGTAGCCTCTTTGGCTATTTTTGTCCGCATCCGCTTTTCATTCGTGTGCGACGTCTGCTGCCAGTCGCTCGCTTCATCAGAGACGGAAAATTGCCAGATGCAAAAGTGCCAGTAGTGAAATTATATAAAAGGAAACACATTTCAGAGGAGGGTCGAACGAGGGGAATCGAGCGATATTTTCCAGGAAACCCCAAATCCTTTCTCGGTTGCATTTCCAATTAGCTAAAAGGCTGCAGAGCCAAAGAACAAAACGCACGAAACTTTTCGAGTGCCGCAATTTGTGCAGAGTTGTCGGAGGTTAGTGACACTGGTTCGTGGCTGCCTGCCTGAGGCCTGCCTGCCCCCCGTTTTGTGGCAGCCACAAGTGCAGGGAGACGTTTGTGATGTCATTTATTGATTTTGCCATTTTAATTGTAAAATAATCTGGACTAGGACGCCCGCTAACGAGTGTTTTTGTGTCTCTCCAATAGGAAATGCTGGCTTGAGAGCAGCTTTGTGGGCACACGACCACTGGACTCGCCGCAGACACCCGTGATTGACAGCAGCCCCCCCGCCACAGCCCAGCAGCAGCTGCAGCAGCAGCAGTACCAGCAGTACCAGTACCAGCAGCAGTATCTGAACCAGCACTATCCCCATCTGGATGCCACCTCGTCGTCGGTGGTAGCCGCTGGACAGCCGCCACTACGCATGAACGGACTGAGCCGAATCGGCGGCGGTGGCGGTGAGTCCACCATATATATCTGACATCTGAACTATCCGAGAACTACCACTACCACTCGTAGATACAAGCCAATAGAAGTAGTTTCCAGATGCGATGCTTAGTTCTTGTTTTCTTAATTTCAAATCACACAAATTTTTGGTTCTGTCTTTGGAGCACACAAGAAATAGAAAAAGAAAAAGAGCAAGCAGCCACATGAGAATATCTGAGAATATATCCAATATACATATATCTAATATATCTGTAGAGTAACGTAACTCCCTACCGACACCCTTACACCCCTACCTGCATACACCCACACACACACACACAGATGAAAATGCAATTTTCTACATTTGTTTGTCTGTTTATAGATATACATGTTTAATGGAAACAAACCATATTTTATCGTAGGGTGCATTTTTTAATCGACTGTAAATTAAACAAAGAAATCGATTCGTTTCTTTCGTTTTGCGATTTTTGACAAATTCACAATTTGCTCAAATGTAGTGTTTAATAATTTTATTAAATTTAATACCTTAGTTTTATGTTTAATTTTTAAATAAAACACAAAGCAATGGTCTACAATTAATTATTGTATTATTATCATAATTTTAATTATTAATTTTGTCAGCGCTTTCACAATCTTTCATAGCATTTTTATCTTTGGATAATTTTGCTATGAACCCCCACCACCAAACACCCCCCATTCCCATTCCCATTTCCATTGAAATTTCCCCCCATATATCATTTTGGAATTTTCTATTTTAGGCTTGGTTTTTAAAACTAGATAAATTCACCCTTCAAATTCATCCTTCTTCGATAAAAACAGACGCGTCTGACAGACAGGCTGACAAGAAATTTTAAAAACTTAAGCGTGCTATAAAAACTCTTACAAATGATCATTTATGCAACGAAGATATATCTTTTATACGATACACAATACAATTATTGGAACTACTATATATCTTATTCTGTATAGACTATTAGATACGTGCTTTATATACGATATATACAATACAATACAATCTGGCCAAGCCCTTGCATTATATGGTGGCTATATAATAAAAACTGATTTATATATTGAATTTCATTTGTTTTTTTTTTTATTTAATTTCAAGTTAATTTATGTTCATTTCAAATTAATGTTTCGTTTTCTAGTCAACGTTTGTATGAATGTTTTTTCCCACACATTCCTCTAACACTCTACACATTTTCTCAGTGTAATTTTGAGCACAGTCAACGATCACCTTTCTAGCTAGTAAGACCATCATCTAATGCGTCCAAGAGCCTAACAATTTATTTCCATTCTTTTGTATTCTTATGCGTTTTTTGTCCCCCTCAAATTATGTAAACGCCACAATATTGTTTGTGACTTAAATTGAAAATTGAAAACAAAAACAAAAACATATTAAAAACTGGTAAAAGTAGCGCCCGAACGCTCCTTGAGCAGCGCATCGCTAGAAGATGTCCTTGCCTCGCTTCTAGGACTGCCATCAGCCTCCTCGTCCCAGAACAGCCAGAACAGCAACAACCATCAGAACAACAACAACAGAACACAAGCGAATAACAAGGCACCCACGCAGACGACAGGTATGAACCTGTAAGTTTTTGTTCCAATATAAACCCAAAAAACAAAAGAAAAACATTACACAAATAAAACTAAAAAAACTTAACAAAAGATAAAGTGAAAGAAAGAAAGTGCAAATATGGGTATAGGCAAAAACTACTTCCGTTCTTGTTTGTTGTTCGCATATAATAATACATATATAATCCTTATAAACGTTATGCTCTATGGATCAAGGGAATACTCACTGAATGAACCATGGATCCAATGGGAATTTCATATATCATATGAGATCTTGGATTTCCAGTTCATTTTTGGGAGCTTCCCTTTGATTCCTTTTTTCCTTTCTATAAAATTATAATCCTTAATATTCTTTAAAGAAAAGTTTCATTTATACTCCATTTGATTTCATTTTTAGTGTAGTTTCTATAACCAGCATATCGATTCATCTTTACAGTCTAGTTATTCATAATTACACTGAGAAAAAGAAACTACATGAACAATTCTACGCCCCCATATCGTTCCTTCCAGCATGTTGGATGACTACCTCCATTGAATGCTCTTTGTTGTTTGTTATTGTTGAACTATAGAGTGATCTCAGGGTGTTGTCAAAATTGTAATACTAATCCGCCATCTTTTCCCTCTCTTCTGCAGCGGGAGATTCAGCTAGTCGCCAAACGCTGGAGGTGCTATCGGCTGCCGACCAGCAAGGACTGCGGCGCCGCAGCGAGGGAGACGCCCCCAGCCAGAAGAAACAGCAACAGACACAACAGACCCAAGCACAGTCCCACAACCAATCCCAATCGCAGTCAGCCGGAGTAGGATCAGCAGCAGGAGCAGTAAGAATCGGAGCCACAGCAGCAAATCAGCAAACAAATGCCAGCAGCGGGAGCAGGCGCGTCTCGTTGGGCGACTCCGCGAACACGGACAAGGTCTGTGGAAGCGGTAGCCAACTCAATGGGGAGCCGGGACTACAGATCCGCTGCCGGAACACCAAATGCGAGCAGAGTGCCTCGCCCGCCGATGCCAAGAAGCTGTACAAATCATGCCACAATTGTTCCCATCTATACTGTTCACGTGAGTGTCGGCGCGCCCACTGGGAGAAGCATCGGAAGGCGTGCCTGCACTCGCGTGCCTCCAACCTGTGCCGCCAGGTGCTAGCCACCTGCAAGGACGATCTCGACTCGCAGCGACACCTCAGTCTGCTTGCCCGTAAAGGTAGCATCTCCCAGGGACGGGGCGTGGTGCGCGTCCTCTTTCGCAGCGCAGAGGCCGCCGAGGGATTCATCAAGAACGGATTCCAGTGCATGGGAGAGGCCTCCTATGTGCGGTGGCCGGACCTGATGCCCGCCGAGATGGGCCTAGAGCTGTATTCGGAGCTGCTGAAGCTGAGCACGGAGTACAAGCCGGAGTCCAAGATGCTGATCTACGTGGCCATCTGCGTGGTCTCCGAGGCGCCAGGAATGGGGCAGGCTCCCGTGCGCTGGGAGCGGCAGCTGGTCTCGCGCTGTGCCAAGCTGAAGCTCTGCAAGAGTGTCCTGGCAGAGCTGGAGATACAGCAGCAGGCCATGCAACAGCCCCTGGCCGTGGTGGCCGTGCCAGAACGCACTGAAATCCTCATACTCACCTTCAATCCCGGGCTGCGTGCAGTTCCTGGAAGTCGGGAGCTCATCCTGTCAAACATCCTGGACATTCTGTCGCGCCGAGGAGTGCTGCTGCGCAAGCACTACCCGGAGATCTATCAGCGCCTGCAGACCTACACCGAGGGCCAGACTGACAAGTTCCATCCCGTGACGCTGCATCCGCGGGACTCGCAAACGGGCCAGAGCTTCGTCTGCATCATCATGCCGGTGCACACGGACAGCGAGTTCATCAAGCTGCCTTCCGCAGCCGATGGCGGTAATCGGGTGACCACCATCGATGTCGGCTCGCCGGCAGCTCTCGCCAAGCTGGATGATGATGAGCTGCTGACCCGCACCACGCCAGCGAGTTGATTAAAGGCCAGCAGCAGCAGCAGCAACAGCAACAGCAGGCCCAGGAGAAGTGGTAGCGTGACGCCTCCACATGCCTCATTATATATCGACGCCCTGGGGTGTGGCCTGGAGAGCACGCGGATGTGAAGGTTGCTCCTTCCCTCGATTGCTTACAAGCGGCTTCTATGCATTGTTCTTTAAACTCTATACATATTTCTCATCGAGGGCACTACAATCTCCAAGAAGAGAATTTATCCAAATCAATATCTAAACAACCTATAATCACATCAAAATCTGTCTTTCCATCTTAGGATATGATGATGTAGTGCCCTCGCCTAGTTAGTCGAGATATTCAGTTAATCTTCGAGTAGTTAGCGGGCGTGTCTGTACGGTGGCATAGCCAGAATCTCCATATATCAGTAGGGCCCTCCACTTGTTGTCTGAAACACCACAAAAAGCATATTCGTACTCGTATTCGTATTCGTATAAATCCCACAATCAAATCATAAATACCAGCAGCAAGTTGGTTAACCTTTTGAACTCTATCTATCGATACCAAGCCAAGCTTTACCAATATCTACATAAAAGATACATCATATATCTGAGCTTATGGGAGCGACATTCAGTTATCTAGCATTTGAGCCACTTACAAGGAGATCTAAAGCCCACATACAATACATACAAAGGTATATCCTGCAGCTTCCAATAAACAAAAATACCAAGTAACACTACTTTATATGATCGTGAATAAGAGGAATAGGCCCCAAAAACTAAGCAAAGAATTTCCTACTAAGCTGCAGCGCAACCTCACTTTTTATAAAGCAATTCAAACGGAACATCACACTATTGTACTTAACTAACTATAATTGTCAGACATATTCTACGTGTTGATCCAATGAGAGCAACTAATCTTGCTTACGGCCTTATTTAAAGTTTGTTAAATTTGTTCTGCCCCCAAATAAAAAGAGAGAAAATCATTTTGTAGCTTTTCGAATTAGGTTTTAATGATTTGTGTGTAAGTGATTGAGAGCAAATATAGGTTAGCTAAAATATATATGTATGTACTTGAATTAGTTAAATTTCTGTACCAAAAAACTCGAGTTGAGAATCAAAACCAAAACCTATGTCAGATGAAGATGATTTTGCATTTCGCATTTAGCTAACATAAATATTTAGATTGATTAATTGCCCCTTCCCCCTTTCCGCTAGTTCAAGCTGCTTAACTCAACGTCAGACTATATGCATACCATAAACACTACATTTTTGTGTAAATAATACTAAGCAAACATGTATTTGATGACCCACAAACATACTACAAAATTTACGAGTATATATCACTTGATCCTGAGAACAGGTTTGCAGATTTCGTTGGTTCTCGCAGAAATAAAACAAAGTTGTTTAGTATGTATTTAAGAAGGACTTGACAAAACAATAAATAAAAGGCATTCAAACTAATAAAAACCAAACCATAGCCCATTTGTTTTTCTTTCTAAATATGCATTACAGCAAAAAATATCCGTGATCCTCTAAGGAAACGATTCTGATCTCCAGAATACGGAAAAGCCCTTGATCCTTGTTAAGGACTGCATCAAGGATTACTGGATTACAAAGTACCGTTTAAAAGGCATGTCCTTATCGTAATTGATGTCCTTGGTTCAAACGATGGGGCACATCATGCCGATTACGAGGACACGTATCTCGTCCAGATCGGATGAGAAATGGCGTAGTTATGGCAATTTAATCAAAAATCGGTTTAAAAATAACCGTCAATTTGTGGCGCCGCTATAATCAGCGGTGAATTCTCGAACTACGCTAATTTAGTTCTAGCAGTGGCCGTCGATATCAGCTGAACCGCCACCCGTGCAAATGTAGTACAAGAAATCCCCGGCTACAGCTGGGGGCGCCACTGTGCAATCACAAAAAAACCAGCGACCTTCTGCTGATTTCTGTTCGCCTGGTACCCAGGTCTGAAATTTCTCGTTTTCTGCCATTTGAGCGGTCCCAAGTTAGGGGTTGTTGTTGTCCAAAATATTGTTGTTGTTGTTGTTGTCAATTGTTGTACAAAAAATACTTGTTGTTGTACAACAACAACTTTCCACTTGCGACCGCTCAAATGGCAGAAAACGAGAATTTCAGATCTGTGATACCAGGCGAACAGAAATCAGCAGCAAGCAATCTCAAGCGAATGCAAAAAAATATGTAGCATAAGTACGGGGGCTAAAAAACGGAAATTTAAAATTTCAAAAAGTAACGACCGACATTCTGCTGATTTCTCGGCCAATTATAGACCGATTCGGGCGTGCGACGGCTTCCTGTGATCGGGAGAAAATCCTTGATATGATCGAGTCCTTATCAAGGAGCAAGGATCAAGGATATTTTCTCCAGTCACATAAATCTTGTCTTCTCTGTTATTTGTGGGCCGATCAGGACGTGCCATGGGTCTTTGTGATCGGAAAAATATCGCTGATCCTTGGGTAAGGACTCAAACGTCCCCAGCCATACATATATAATTTTCTTGACTATTTGTGGGCCAATATAGGCGTGCGATGGCTTCCTGTGATCGGAACATTATCCCTTATTTAATGAAGTCGCTTTAAAGGATAAAGGATCAAGGATATTTTTGCCCGTCATATATTTCTCGTTTTCTCCGTAAGTTCTGTGTAGATTGGGGCGACTCCTCTGGTTGGAAAAATATCCTTGATCATTGGACAAGGACACCGACATCCCCGCAAAGTCTTCTTGCCCATTTCCCATCAAAAGAAAGTCAGACAGCGGTGTTGTTTTCATTTTTTATTTCATCTTGTATTATTCCTTGCCATTCGGCTTAGCAGTTTTTCTTTTGAAAATTATATATCTTTTATATGGTAGTTTTAAACGTAATATGGTTTCCTTACTCTTTGCTTGATTAGTACAATATAATCGCTATGATGTATGCATGTTTATGTATTATGTTACCTTTAAAATTGTTTATATCCGTCTATTTTGGTAAAACATATCAAACAATTTATATTTTAACAAAATTTGACAAGCCCACAAATTTGTGTAATATACAATACATGTACTCGTACTTTCTGAATTGATTTATATAGTGTATGTATTAATACGATTGCAACTTTCTGCAGGGTTACCATTCTCTAGACATCTATTGCTGCTGCTATCGCTATAGGTTTAATTTATCTCTCATTACATTGTATATCATACTATGCCAATGCCCCGACGAAATTTACTATGATCCTCCTTCTTCTTCTCCTCTGGCTTGTGGGGCAACGTGCCAACGTGTTGTTTTCCTTTTAACAAATATGTATCTGTATCTCATATAAATATTTAAGTGTACATATATGACTATTGTTGTTTAACATGTGTATTTTTCAGCTAATAATTTAGTGTTGCTTTTATGCATTTGCTTGCTAACGTCTTTTCATATAATGTATGTATGTATGTACTATATGTATGGTTGTGTATAAATACGAGGCCGAATTTAAACAATCTTCAAAACAGCTTATCAGTTATATACATTATCATGTAGTACCTTCTTATGTGCTAGTGCCAATACAATATCATCATCGTCTCTTCGTCTGCGTTATGTTATCGTAAAAAGTATACATGCTACAATACATATCTACATTTATCTTACTGTTCCATTTTCCTTTTTCCATTTTCCCGGGCTGGGGTATGGTATTATATTACTCGTATTATAATTATAATTATTATCATCTATGCCGTTTCATCATACACTTTAGGTACCATAATTGTTTAGCTTTAGGATCTAGATTATACATAGATGGCTAGCTTGGGGGCGTATCGACTGTGTGGTTGTGGTATATACAGGAATGTATTTGGGGGGAACTAAGTAGACGAAGAAGATTGTGGGAATGAGGTTGAAGTTCCAATTAGCTGCTCAGCTGGAAGTATGTATTTCTGTTCTAGCATCCGTTTATAAAACTATAAAATAGCGATCTGCTTTGATCTTCTGCCTGTGGGGGAGATCTCAACTTATGTTTAAAAAACTAGCTGTCTTATAAAATATGCACTACGCAAGACTTTTGACTAATTGCACGGGTTTTTGTATTTGTTTAGAGTCATCTGCAATACGCATACAGAACCTAGGTATAAAAACAGATTAACATATGTGTAGAATTACTCGTCTTGTCTCGTATTTGATTGATTGTTGTACGTTTCACACACACAAAATACATGATACATGTCTATTCGGATTTGGATTCCACTTGGAGTACAGTACGCGCGGCTACGTTCAAAATGGCAACTACTTTTTCGACTCTTATTCTTGGGCTCGAGATTCAATTCGATTCGATTTAGGCGGTAAGATTAATAGCTACCAAGTCCTTAGTTCAAATATGTATCGATATCCAGTGGCCCGTCCGCTCCGCTCCATAAACGACGGTGCCACAAACAACAAGTTGATTGACTACTTTGATTAGTTCGAGCAAAAACTTGATGAACAATATGTGTGTGAGTATATAAGATATACATATACGTGTGTTGATACATAAATTACTGATAATTAAACGTGTAACAGTCTTTTTTAGTTCACATTTTCCAATGAAATCAAACTCAGCTAAAGACCGACACCGGAGGCCACGATACAAACGAATCGTAATTGCAAATGCAAACATATCCTGGGATGGAGTGGGGGCGGGATGGTGCGCTTATCAACTAAAACATATCCACGTACAGATATATAATGTAAGTATAAGTAGGTATAGTGTAAGTATGTGTGGGGGGCAGTAGCTGGCTATAATACTTTAGAGTTATGATATCCGTGTGTATCGTAAATGCGTATTATGCGTAGAGTTCGAAAGAAATATGCAACGAACGAACGAACATAAAGTTGACAAGGTTTTTGCTCCTCCTCCTATACCTCCTATCCCAACTCGATATGCCCCCGCCAATCTTATCCATTTGCATAGTTGTCGAATGAGCCCAAATACTCCAAAGCAGCGCGATAGCAGAAATGATATTGATCCTGAAAAAACATAAACATAATATACATATTAGCGTTGGCTCAAGGGCTTTCCCAAATCTCACTTCTCACCTCGGTTTGCACCATGGCCGGTCGCTGGGAGCGTAGGATGCGCACTGTCTGGAAGACATCCAGCACTCCCTCGTACTGCATTCGCTCTAGCACAATGCTGAGGGTAATGAAGACACCCGTGCGACCCACACCCGCCGAACAGTGAACGGTTATGGGTCCATCCTGGCCGAACTGCTCCTTGGTCTTGTGCACCTGGCCAATGAAGTCGATGAAGCCATCGCCGGACTTGGGCACACCCTGCTCTGGCCAGTCGATGAACTGGAACTGGCGGACAGTGCGTGAGGAGCCATCCCGAGCATCCGTTACCTGAAAAGAGTAGTCGTTCAGTAATCATTACCTGGGCGATCTTGGGTGTCTTTTCGTCCATTTACTCACCTTGAATTCACGCAGCTTGTACTGCGGCATATTGTACTCGGCAATGGGATCCACAACATAATACTGATATCTCACGGATCGCTCGTGTGGCCAATACTGGAAGCATTTCTCCTACAGAAGAGGGCAGCATTAGAAAGAGGCTAGATAGGGGATAAGGATCTTTCACTTACCCTTCCCATTTCCTTGAGCTTCGTCAGCATAACCACAATCGTGGAATTGTGCTCCCAGAGCATGCGCCAAAAGTCTTCGGCCGTATCCTGGACTGGTCCCTGGGCCGCAATGTAAGCGGAACGATAGCGATAGCCATCGATGAAGCTGGCATTCACATAGTCACTGCCCTCGATGCCATGGATGGGTGTTAGATAGACGCGGCTCGACTCGTACGGGAGAATGTGGACCAGACGATTCTTGTGCTTGTTACTGGGCAAATTGGCGGTAACGAATTTGGACGAATCCATCTTCACGTTGGACAGCTTCTTGAACTCCACTTCCATGCCAGAGATGCTCTCGCCCGGCTCCGTGATCAGCAGCTTCTGCAGATGGGTGTGCAGATTGCGGGCTGGCACCTCCGTAAGACCACAGATGATGGCCTCAATGATCGCATCGTGGATGAAGATGT